TATCTCAGGTCTGCTGGGCTCTGTGTCTTCGTTCGTTCACTCTTATCAGCATTCTCTATTAACATCTCTTTAACGTTTCCAGAAAACGTTGCAGGATTTCTTCCTTTAGCACGGAAAATTACCTCCTCCTCTTCTCCTCCTTTCCTTCCTCTTCTAACTTTTCTCCAGTCTGTGCAGTGTTTCCTGTGGTGATCATGTTTTTTTTCCCTTTAATTTTCTGTTGTTGTTGTTGATGTTGTTGTATTGTTTTGTTGATGTTACCCCCTCAACACTTTAACCCCCACATATTCCATACTTTTTTAACAACCACCCCCACCCGACCCCCCCAAAACCTTCCGGCACACACGCCCTCTCACACCCATCTCCTTTGTCTGTGTCTGTCCATTTGTGTGTGATGTGACCCCTCCCCCAACCCCCCTCTCCAGAAGACACGGAGTCGCCCGCTCGGACAAACTCAGGTCTGTCTGCCCGTCTTCTCTGACCCTTCTTTACCTTCTGTACTTTTCTTCCTTCTCTTATTGCTCCTCTTACTCGATCATGCTCATCCTGCATCAGCTGAAAGAGTTACAACTCTAGTTGATCTGGCCTGACTCAGTCTGAACTGTCTGGTCACACACAATTAATGTCACTTGGGCTGCAATTCATCTGGAACTTGCTTGATTGGTAGCAATATACAGTCTTCATATCTGGAGGAGGGAGGAGGATGGGAAGATATATGTACACTGAGTTGCCAGTTTATTAGAACACCTGTCTTGTACCCACACACATTGGTCGCTGTCAGAAACATGTACCATATAGGTGCATTAGTAGGTTTTAGAGCTGTAATTTAACCTTTGTCAGCCCCCTCTACCCCATTCATTAATAATAAGAGACGTATGTAAGACCACCGACCAGCAGATGGGCTACAGTCAGCAATTGTATACCTAAAAAATGCACCTATATGGTAGGTATATATAATAAACTGGCAACAGTACAGTATTGTGCAAGTCAGTCACCATTTATTTAATTTTCAATTAAAATGACCATTAAGTACAAGTTATTAATTTTTCAGTGTCAGAAAAGGCAGGAAACATATTTAACAAAAACTTCACAGATGCCTTAATAACTAAATGTAATATCATTCTTTAATGATGTTTAATGTGTCCACCTTTTGCCTCTATTACAGCTTCCTTTCTTTTTGGGAGACTTTCTGCTTCTCACTGTTCAATACTGCCACTTTAAAGCTGGTGGTTTACTTCAAATGATGAAATAAGTACATGAAATTGAACTACCACCAAACAATCTGTCACAAGTAAATTCGATGTATGTTTCAGCACTCCTTGAACTCCGCTTTGTGCTGTGGACCAGTCGCAGTCAAATAAAGACAATCCACTTGCATGAGAGAGAGGAACATCAAAGTGTAAAAAAAAACCAGATGTTTCTAAAACTTATGTTCAAAAAATGATTAAAAGATACAGAGTAAAAATCAACAGGTGTTTTTCATCCTTCTACTCAGAGAAGACAACTCAGTGCTATAGGTCTGAGAGGATGTGTAGCCGTCAAGTAAGGAAATAGACAAAAAAGAAGAAAATTTGTGCTAAAACACACAAACTTGACGTCTGAGATGTGGAGTAAGGTTTTATGGACAATGAACCTCATTTACTAATCTCTTCCTAAGTTTTTTCTTAAATTTGTTCTAAGGAAATGTCTTAAGAAAAAGTCCATGTTAGATTCATGATGTTCCTAAACCACAGAATTGTTGGCCCCTTTTCTGCTCTTGAATGTGTGTAGGTTCTGTTTTTACCTGAGAACAAATACCAAAATAAGAAAACACTGGTGAATGTCAGAATCTTTGTGAAAACTGCTTAAATGGGTTTTAAGAAGAAATTTCTTTTGAAGAATGGTTGGTGAATGAGCCCTACGGGTCTAAAACTGTATTTGGGATCACATGGACCATGAGAAGCAGAAAATAAACCAACTTCTAAGACTGAACTTTAGAGGTGTAGAAGAAGATCCAGAAAAACTTAGAGCAAGTCTCCAGAAAAGAATGGAATAAAGGCAAAGAGTGGACAACATAAATATCACATGCACAGAGGCTTCAGTGTACTTTACTGTTAAATATGTTTATTGTTTTTTTCCTGCCACTGAAAAATGAACTTGTGCTTAATGGACATTTTGACTGGAAAGTAAATAAAGGAAGAGTGGTCTCTGACTTTTGCACAGTTGTATATATCCCACTCTTTCAGCTAATTTGATGCTGAAGCCTCTTTTCTTAGTCAGTGTTGTTTTAGTGAGGAACCACAGTATTCTGCCCTCTTTTTCATTTGCCTGTTCATTTCTCCATTGAAAGTCCATGGGAGTTACTTTTGACCTCTGTCATGAAGCCACGCTAATGCGCTAATGGATTCACAGCAGCTGCCAGAGCTGTGCACATTGTCCTGACTAAGTCTTGCTGCTGCTCTGTCATGCCACCACTTTGTAGTTACTGTGACCATATAGACTGGCAATGGCTAGATTATATTACCCTTCAATCAGGGCAAGTATAATCAGTTTCATAAATAAAGCTGGCTTCATAACAGTATTGTCAATAAGTGAAGTCAATATCAATGAACTGCTGATATTAAAACTCCGTAATGACTCCCAGGTCATGTGTGATTTCAACACTGTTTTGAGTATACAGGCTACAATCATTCAATAGATTGTTTGTTTTTTTCCCTCCTCTCCTCCATCTGTTTGCATTGCTTCTCATCGCCATCTTTATAAACCAAAAGTAGAGAGAGAGAAAGCAAGCCCACAGAATGAAGATGAAGGTAGGCTGGCTGGACTTTTTTTGGTGTCACTGATGCCAAAAAAAAAAAGATTTCCAGTCAGGAAATCGAGCCACAATATCTTCTCAATGGACACTGTCATGGACAGTTTTGAATGAAGAATGTTACTTTTTAAAGCTGAGCAAAACATCAGTTTTTAAAGCAATGATAACAAAAATATATGACAGAAATACCAGAGAGCACTTCTTACAGTAAAGATGAAGACTTTTCAGCAGGAGATATAGGCCTGTAGGAGAGCTTTAGAATTTGAATTATGTAATATGAAGCAGTACAGTAATGAAAACTTTGCTGAACACTGCACTGAAAATGACGAAGGTTTTTGAATGCGCTGCTGATTGGACTTACAAGTTACAAGGAGTCAAGAGCACAGCAGCGTTCTTCCCACATTTTTTCATCAAATCAAGTGACTCAGCATGCTCCACGCGACCAAGATTCAACACTGATTCAGTATGCTACATGCCTCTGAGACATTAAAGATGGATTTGTAGATTGATTTCATGCTGGATGGAAAAATGAAGAAACAGCTCACAGTTTAGTCATCGACAAAATTGTCCAAATATTGCTTTTCTTTCGTTTTTGCAAGGTCCAGTACAAAACTGCTGGAATTCAAGAATCAGCACAATTGGCCTTGAGTGCTAGAACAGTAGAACAGAAAATAGATCACATTTGGACTTGTGTTACCTGTGGGAGTACAGCTCAGAACAAATCTCCCCAAAACATGATGACCAAAGTCTCTTTTGGTCTCTTCAAAAGAGCTATATCTGCACATGCAGAGCTATGCCTGTTTGTGTGTATCAGGCTGTTGGTAGTGTTAATGTGATACCTTTTATTGAAAGAGAAGGACTTGTTAACACTAAGTAATTTATTTACAGTAATGATGCATCTAAATGATACATAATTGTTTAGAATGTGTAGAAATTTGGAATAGAACTGCCTGGATTAACGTCACAGAGAAATAATGTTTATTTATGCAGGGTTACAAATGCAATAAAATAAATGCAGAAGCCCAGCGTCATCTACATTCTGCTCGTCCAGAGTAGCATTATTTTCGATGCAAATACTTTTCTGTTTACATATTTGCTTTGTGTCAGCAATTTAGAGTAATTAAATATATTAGCTGGCCATTATTTCTTTAACCCTTCTCTCTCATAATTCAGTAAAAAAAAAACAGAGCACAGATGAGACTTTAAATTGATACCAGATATGTGTGATAGAAGTAGATTTGGGGGTTATTTTAGTATAATTTTACTTAATTTTTTTAAATTCTAACTTTAAATTGTCATTTTTGACATTGAAGTGAATGAAAAAACTGAATGGAAAAAGAGACTGTAACCTGTTGTTAGAGGATGTACATATAATCTGTTTTGTAACAAAATATATACAGAACTGTGCAAAAGTCAGAGAAAGCCCTCATGTCTTCAATTTCCAGCTGAAACAGCCATTAAGCCCAAGTTATTAATTTTTCTAAGAACACAAGCAACTTCTTCGTTTGGTTTGCAAATGTTCTTCTTTTTGTCTGTTTTCTCAGTAAGGGCTTCTTGACAGCTACACATCCTTTCATACCTAAAGCAATGACTTAATCTTCTCACAGTGGAGGACAGACAGAAACTTCTGTAGATTTTTTAGCTCCCATGTCACCTCTCTCTTAAAGATGAAAGCTATAAGCACAGTTTTTCTGATGGTGGTGGTTTTAGTGGTCAAAAATGGTTATTAGGAGTCACATTTTATCATTAAATCTTCAAATAGTTAAATCATCTTTTTTTTATTTTGACTTTCCTCTTCCTTGTGCAAGTGGATTATTTTACATCTAATCTCCTCAGAAACATCCGCTGAACAATTAACAACTTATACTTAATGGCTGTTTTGACTGGTCTCTGACTTTTGCACAATACGGTAATTATTGTCATCATGTAATTGGATTTAAATAGTATAGAACATTGGCACACAATAACTAGACTTGTAAAGATTAAAATAAAATATGATGAAGTTTAAGTGGTGGAGTAGTGCCAAAGCCATTTCTCAGATCACGCACCAGTACACCCAAAACTGGGCTGGTGCCGGAGCTAGTTGGCCTGACCTGCATTTCCCATTCAGGCTTCACCCAAAGCTTCATCAGAGCCTTATAACCATACGTTCTCTCTCCCCCCCACCACACACACACACACACTTACCATTGTTCCGTGTGCTCGGCAGGTGCCATGGACGTGGAGGAAAGAGCACGGCAGATGAAGCTAAAGGTGGAAAAGTTTAAGCAGGGAGCTGCGTCCGACTCCAGGCTGGACCAAGACCACCATTTAAAGGCAAGTCACTGACTTACATATTGTTGCTGTTGAAACAAAACATTTTATATATTTGTTGATTTTCATTTAATGATTGTAAAATGCCAGTTGCCCTTTACATTGTGTTAAAGTTTGATTATGAATGAACCAATGCAAATGCTCCAGAATTACTTAGAACAAGATCTTATTTCTTAACTTCTATTCAAAGTTAATGATGTTTTTTTTTTCTCCTTTAAAGTTAGTGTTTTTGAGATACAGAGTTTTTTTCCAGCAGTGATAATGTGGTACCTTTCAAATGTGAGTCAGTGTTCAAACATTTGGAATTACTGATTCTTTGTTCTGGACCTGATCAACTCTAAACATCCTTCAAATAATTAATAGAAAGTTATGAAACTCTAAATAAAAATGAAGAAGTGTTAGATGTGTCCAGAATGAAAAAGAGCTATAGATGATTCTAAAATGATTGTGAAAGCTGTATAAAATAAAGAAAGAAGTTAGACCAAAAGTAATACATACAGAAGGCCTCATATTTGAATTGATATATCACATATATAACTCGGGCATATAACTTGACAAATAAAATGCAGTGAAATATAATCACTTAAATAGGTATTTAATGTATATACACACAGAGGTATATATAAAATGTTCTGGTATATATTTGTGTTTTGAGAACCACAAGAAGTTATTAAATAACAAGTCATTGCTGTCGGAATCTCTAAAATGGCCAAAATGGTAGCTCACTAAAGAGAAAGAAAAACCATTACATAACTTGTACGTTAATGTACCAAGTTTTCAACCATTACTATTGGACTGTTCATCATGAAATTGTGGTTTTTAAATTATAAACTTTATATTTTTGAAGCAATACTTATTTAATAATAAATAATGAACAGCTTTAATAATGAACAGCTTATGTCAGTAATCACAATGATATACGTTGTTTGAGTAAACAACATTATAAAGTAAGCTGACAATGAACTGACCTAAGTGGCCACTTCAAACTAAAGTTACCAACATTTTGTTTTATTTATATGAAGTTTCCCTCCCAAAATATTTAACTTAAAAAAAAGCAGAGGCCTATTTCAGAACACCACACGTCCTTTCTATGGAATGAATAACATGGACTTAACGACTGTTTTGACTAGAAATGAAATTATTCTGTGCAATTTATAATGTAATTCATTGTCATTATGAAATTGGATTTAAATAATATAGCACACTGACAAGAATGACTAACCTTGTAGGGGTAAAATATGAAATATAATGGATTAACTAAAACAGGGTAGTTGTTGCCCAAGTCAAAGCCATGACAGACACACACACACACACACACACACACACACACACATTTTCTAAACCGCTTATCCTTCTGGGTTGCGGGCATGCTGGAGCCTACGCCAGCAGTCATTGGGCGGAGGGCAAGAAACACATTGGACAGGTCGCCAGTCCATCACAGGGGCCGTGACAGGCATTAGTTCTAGTTAATAACACTGTTGTGAAGCATCATTCCCAAATAATGGAGATTATAAGGCAGAGGCCCAGTTGAGAGCTCTGTGTGTCATTTCTGTGGAAGATTCTGATGCCCTCGAGCTTATCATTTTGCATATTTTTCTATATGTATAAATATACATATTCCCATGAAAATGTTTTGTATTTGAGTAAAAGTAGAAATACATTGCATATTTCAGTACAGAGGTTTTAAATGTTCTTAAATAACCAAACTAAAAGTACTATGAGTTAATATAGATTATAGTTATGTTATATTACTACAGCAGTTAGTTGTTTGTGTCTGCAGCCACACAGTTCTCCTTAATTGAGACTGCACTTTTGTACTTTAACTCAAGTATAAATATGGTGCTCTTAACTGGGCCTCTGCCTTCTAAGTTCCATTACTTGGGAATGATGCTTCATAACTTACTCGCATAAGATGTTTATAAATATTAAATAAATATGTTATTTAATGCTTGTGCAGGGGCTCAGACTGCTACCTCCGAACAGGTGTGTCCTCCTAAAAAAGTGAGAATAATGCCTCATAACAGTGTTATAAATGAAACACACAGCCATCATTGTAGTTTTAGGGCCCTTCTGTCAGTATAGTGTCATTTATGGACATAAGCTGTTCATAAATACTCAAGTATTGCTTTAAATATGTTAATTTATGCATAAGTCTCTATGTAGGTAGCCTTTAAATAAAGTGTGTATGTACTGAATATTGTATATAAAATAACAAATATATGTATTTTATATATTGTTTATAAAATAAGAAGAATTGTCCATACAGGTCAACCTACATTTTTAAATGGATATCAAACTCAAAAATAGACATAAAGATTATTATTAATTATCATGTGTCTCATAAATTCATATAATTGTAATTATTAAAACCATTAACTATATCTAAATAGACTAACTAAACCAATAATATATTCATAGCAAACAATAACTTAACAGCTAAGTACACTTTCTGCAATGATTAATTACATGTGGGCTACTGTCTTCAGTAGCAGTTTGGCTCCAACAAAAGAACATTTCAACCTACTTCCTCGAAAATATGTTCCAGATTTTCCAAGCGTGCTGACAATACACCATAAGCTCAGTCTCACAGGAGTTTAAAACATAGCAACTCTAGTTAATTAATGGTCTGTGCTTGTGCTTATTCAAGCCTGACACCTCTGAAAATTATTTAAATGGTCTGTCTTACTTTGAAGTTGGGTTGCATTGTCTGTTGGGTCCTTAAGAACACAGTGTTGCTCTTTAGTGGCTGCTTTTAGACACACTACGTGTTCTTTTTCTAGCAAATAAGTCATGAGGGGTTGTACTGAAACTAATCTCGGTGCCATATTTGGCCATTCATGCACGCCTGTATCTTCCTCGTAAGCGCGTGGTATGAGGAACATCGCATTGGCTCAGTTCCACATTTCCTGCGAGCGCTATTAAAAGCAGGTAAAGAAAAGCTGTTTGTCATGCTGTCTGTTTGGCCTGCAAGAAAGGCGCCTTGAAGGACATTATGTTTACAGTCGTCATGGAGGAGCTAAAGCAATCTAGAAGCTCTACGGTTACAAAGGGGCTCAGTGGGCTCATGGGCACCATAAATAAAGACTGAGGGCCATTTAGGTTAGAATTATCCACTTGATAGAGAAAAGAGGAAATTACTCCATGTTCTCAGAATTAGGGCAGAACAATATACAATATATGACCAAAAGTATGTGGACATTCTAATTATTGAGTTCAGGTGTTACATCCACTCCCATGCAGTCTCCATTGACAGTAGAATGGGTCATACTGAAGATCTCAGTGACTTTTATCAAGGCACTGTCACAGGGTGCCACCTTATCAAAAGTCAGTGAAATTTCTGCTCTGCTAAATTTGTTTTGGTCAATTATAAGTGCTATTGTTGTGAAATGGAAGCATCTTGGAGCAACAACAGCTCAGTCTTGAAGCAGTGGACCATGTCTTGAGGAGCTTGGTTGTGAAAAACCAGCTATACTCTGTTGCATCACTAACTACACAGTTCCAAATAGCAATGGACACAACAGCAACACAAGAGCTGTGCATTAAAAGCTTCATGAAATAGGTTTATATGGCCAAGCGTCGGATGGAGTGGTTCACTGGACTCTGGAGCAGTTGAAACATGTTCTCTGGAGTGTACCCCTGGCATCCAAACAATACCTACCAGATGGCGTTGTGCAAGCAGTAGAGTGTGGTGGAAAGGGGTGCTATTGGTCTGGGGCTGTTTTTTAGGGCCAGGCTGGGCCTCTTAGTTCCAGTAAAGGGTGATGTTAATGCTACAACATACAAAGATGTTTCAGTTGATTACATGTTCCCAACTTTGTGGCAGCAGTTTGGGGAAGGGCCTTTTCTGTCCCTTGACTGTGCCCTTGTGCACAAAGCAAGGTCCATAAAGACACGGTTTGACAAATTTGGTATAGAGGAACTCCACTGACCTGATCTCAGTCTCATTCACCACTCTGGGGATGAAGTAGAGCGTTGACTGTGAGACAGGCCTTCTCGCCCAACATCTCTGCCTGCCTCACAGATGCTCTTTTGACTGAATGGGCACAAATTTCCACAGGCACACTCCAAAATCTAGGAACAAAGAAAGCTGTTTGTTTCACACTTAGAAAGCATCATCTCAGCAGTTGTTAAATAACTTAAGCAGCACAATGACTGGATGTTTAAAAAGTTGATGAAAATAATTTCAGATGGCATGCTTTTAAATGCTGTAACCTTAATTGAAGTTGTTTGTTGCTGAAACTAGCCATCACAGCTTTGTTGTGTCTGCCTCATCAGAAAACTGCAGTATTGCGCAATTAGTTGTTTTTCCCTGCTCTGCAGTTGAGTCAGATGTGTGCTTATCTGTGCTGTGGTGCTTCAGTACCTGAGGCTAACTCCACAGATCTGAGTAATGCTTGACTAATGAAGCTTTAGATTAGAAGGATCCAGGATGATTTCTCCAAACACTAAATGTAGATTAAAGGAAATGGAAGGGCGTTAGAGTGAAATTAATATTTTGTTTTAACGTTAACATTTATATTAACCATTTTACAACAATAATCATTTGATCTATTGACTATTATTTGATTTATCGATTAATCAAACCATGCAGCAGCTTCCTGTTACTTTGCCCCTTTGCAGCTAGTGATGATACCAGATGTGAGCAGAAAATGCTGGATCAGATACTTGATGGAAAAAGCTATGTATTAGCGTTGTAATAGCTGCAGTCAGTGCAAAATTTTGAACACCCCCAGTTAAATTCTATATTTTAAGTGAAAATAAGTTAACACATCAGCAGTGTCTTCTCTATAGAGAGTGTGTTAACTTGTCACTTACAAAATAAAACATGCAAATTGACCATGGGCACCCAAACGGTTGGATAATTTTGGGTATTTGAGTAGCTTCCGTATGTTTGTTAGATGCCTACTTCTGAATGCTCGTCTTAAACGAGGCTCTTCAATTAGAAGTAGCTATTTTTTCAAAAGAAAAATATGGGATTGGTGTTGGCTGATATTCCAGGTTTCAATATCAGAAAAGTCATCTTCATCATCATCTTAAACCACTTAATCCAGATAGGGTCACGGTAGCAGTTGGAAGAGCTGAGAATCCCAGACGATATCAAAAAAGTATTGGAATAAAAAGTGGTGTTGGACCATCTCCAGTCACAGAATCAACATCATTCAAAGTTCTATCTATGCAACAAACAATTTCTTCTTCTATTGTGCAACCAAACAATACAAGCTTTATACCCCTGTGCTTCCTGTTTGTGTACTGCAAAGTATCAGAATGGCTGCACGTATTGTACACACATTATAAAGCACAGTAAAGCACCTTACACGTCTTTTTTCCATAATCAGCATTCTCAACGACTGTTTGACTTTGTTGGCTAATCATTGCATCTCTACAACAATTCACTGTAGTTGTGATTTCTTTTGGAAAGTGAGAGTTTAAAAGTTTCACTAAGCCATGAGGAGTTTCATTAGCAGTTTTCATACATTTTTTCATGCATACATATTGGGTTTATTCTTTGTTTGATACACTATACAGTGAAAAAATAACATTATGAATTTACTTCACTCAAATGTGTACCTCATTTCCACATTAATAGAATATATCAACACAGATTTTTCTTTCAGTTTATTTACTTCAGGGAATAATTGTGTTTATGTAATATAATTTATTCATGTGGAAGGGATGTACACATTTGAATCAAGCATCTCTTTGTAGAATTGAACGTTGTGGCTTTATAACTGAATTATGAAAAAGGGTAAATGCTTATTTGAATTAGAGTCAGGGACAAATATGTCTGTCTCCCCTCCCTAACAGACCTCTGTTCTCTCTGCAGCGGACAGGCAGGGACGGTCAGCGAGGGACGGATAACCTCTCGGCCAAGTCATCAGACAGCGACGTGAGCGACGTGTCCGCTGTGTCGAGAAGCAGCAGTGCCTCTCGCTTCAGCAGCGCGAGCTACATGTCCGTCCAGTCCGAACGGCCGCGGGGCAGCCGCAAGATCAGGTGAGCCCCCCGACACTGTGCCCTGCTTTCACACAGGGCAAAGGTCAAGCAATGTTTGCCAGAGATGGGCGAACACCTAAATTACTCATTTATTCCCTTTTGAGTGGAGTTGGGAACCGTTCTGGGGCTTTCTCTGATGAAAACCCCTGTGCAAGGTTCCTTCTTACAACAGGAAATTCCCCTTTTATAATGATTCATTTCCTGAACTGAGTGAGTTCAGGTTTGGCTCTGTAGAGTTAGTTATTAGTGGAGCCAAACAGCTGAACCTCACTATAACAATAAACACCCATCGATGGCAAACCAAATCATTATGACTTTGAAAGTCTTTCAGACATATTCTTTGACCCTTAGAAGTCTACAGTTATCATGGTTGTTTGCTGTGTAATTTAAATAACTATTACATGAAAACAAAAGCAAGTACATAGCGAGTTATTTTTTAAATTTACATTTGATTTATGCTGTGTATCGACAAATTGTGACATATTTCTTTTGTCTTAATATCAAACAACGACTAAAACATGGCAAAAATGTGAAGGATGATGTTTATTTCTGCAAAAAGGACTGCACACACAACAATAACTTTTCAGTTCAGTGAAAATCAGATCATTATGAAGTGTCTCCTCTTAACATCTTTAAAGAGCACTTTGCACACCAGCAGCAGCTCAAAGTGCTTTACAGACAGATAACAATGTTTCACAGTAATAGACAAGACAATGACAGATGAAGTTGAAAAGAAATTCTAAGGAGACAATTTTAATTGAACAGTAAGTTAAAGAGATGACTTTTTTAACGGAAGGTATTTGCAGAAAGCCAGTATCTCCAGACACTCTGTGAGGTACACAAATGCTAGGTCATTTAGAGTCATTTAGAGAAAAACTAGAAGAATTTTAAAATCTATCCTGAAAGATGCGGGCATCCAGTGCAGTCTTTTTAAAACAGGAGTGATATGTTTTCTCTTTTTTGTTTTTGTTAGGATCCGTGCTGCTGCATTTTATATGAGTTGTAAGGATGTACTGTTTTCTTAGGAGGCCCAGTAAGAAGCGCACTACAGTAATCAATTCTGCTTGTAACAAATGCATTAACAAGTTTTCCTGCATCACAAGATAGAAAGAGTTTTAGTGCCAAATATCAGCATTTCTGTTTCCTCGTTATTACGTTTTAAGTAAGAATTTTGTGACATCCACTGAGAAGTATCTGACACACAGCTGGTGAGCCTGTCTGCAGAGTCTTGATCATCAAAAGGAATCAACATATATAATTGCGTGTCATCAGCATAGCTATGAAAATTCATGTTTTGTTTCCTAATGAAGTAACATGTACAAAGAGAAGAGCAAGGGGCCTATAACTGAACCCTGTGGGACTCCACAAAAATATTAAATCTCTTCGCCGAATGATTTCTTAGTGAAACCAAGAATTGTCTATGCATTAAATATGACTTAAACCATTCTAAAACTGTGTCTGAGAGGCTGACCCAGTATTCAAGGCAGTGTATTACAATCTTCTGATCAACAGTATCAAAAGCAGCACTAAAATCCAATAAGACCAAAATAGAAGAATTTTTTTGTATCAGCACTAAACCTAAAGTCATAAAACCAATGTTGTCTCAGTACTATAGTTAGAATGAATATCTAATTGAAACTTCTCGTATAACTTTTTTGATATTAGAGACACATTTAATTGTTTGACGGAAACTTTTTTCTAATACTTTATCTAAAAAAAGAAATAGGAAAATCTAAAATTATTCCATATGGAAGAACCCATGCTATTCTTTTTGGTGGGGGCTTCACTAGGGCACTTTTAAAAGCATCTGGAAAAGCACCTAATGACAGAGAACATTTTACAATCGTTAAGGCATCATTATGAACATATTTAAAAACCTTAATTAAGAAATGAAATAGGAACAGGGTCAAGATCACATGTGGACGAACTTAGTTTTTTTTATAACTTTTGTAAGTTCCTGATAATTGATAACAAAGAAAGATGTCATCACTGATGTACGTGGCTTATCAAGAAGGTTATAGGAACTAGTTTCAGTCAGCTGAGCTACGATCTGTCTTAGGTCTATTTTATTTTGAAAATAAATTGCAAACTTCACAGATTTTAGAAGATAAAGCACCATCTACCATACAGCAGACAAGTTAGGGTTAATTTGTCAATCTATGGTGGAAAAAAGGACTTTGGTATTATCTTTGTGTTTATTAATTACACTAGAGAGGTACTGTCTGAATATTTTCATAGCATTATTGTAGTTGAGGATCTGCTCTTTGAAGAAATCATAATGTACCTGCAGTTTAGTCTTCCTCCATAGGCTCTCTGATTTATGACAGTTTCTCTTGATCTGGCATATTTCCCCATTTATCCACAGATTTTTATGAGTATGCTTGTTTTTATTCCATTTGGCTGGAGCGAGTGTGTCAAGAGTTTCCTTGAATCTAGCATTTAAATCAGAGACCAGATCATTACAGGAGGAAGTTATTTGCTGTATCTGATGCACAATTATAAATATTTTTAAAATTCTCTACTGAGTTAATGTAATTTTTCAGATACTTTTGCAACACTTTCTTCCTCACTTCTACACTGACTTGGAAGAATATACAGATATTATATGATATGAAAACATCAGACATGATGTTTAACCCTGTAGTGATCACCAGATCCAGGATGTGACCTAGCTTGTGGGTAGAACTGCCTACATACTGCTTCATATCAAGAGACTCTAGAACTGTAATTATTTCTAATGCATTCATGTCTGATGGATTATCAATATATAAGTTTAGATTTTCTAGAGATAAGAAGTTTATCATAACTTGTGGATACAATTATTATTAGTTCTGCAGTTTCTACCAAGAAGTTATTTCGCTTGGGAGGTCAGTATATTACAGTTAATAACACGGAAGTGTTGCTAAAAAAATTGACCACAACATACTCAAAAGACATAAATTTACCCACAGTTGTACTTTTGCAGTTAAAGTCACTGTTATAAATGTAGGCCACTCCTCCTCAGCACCTGCGTTTGCTAGGGTGATGAGGGGAGATGGAGGGCCATCCGAGAGAGAGTGATACCAGTTGTACTCTCTCTTATACACTCTTAGTGTCCTGGCCACGGATGGCTGTGGCATCACTAGTGATTTAACTTACGATCTTCCGACGATGCTTAGACCAGGGCTGTGCAAAGTGTGGCCCACCAAACTTGGTCTATGACGACGTTTAATTTGACCCACCAGAAAATTACCTTAATCGCACCTCCACATCCAAACAAATTTTTTCGTACATACATACTATACTATGCTTATCATCTTATTTTCCTTTTAAAATTGCATTTAAAACCTTTGTTTGTGAATTGTTTTGTGTTTTTGGCCCACCACAAACATTGCACTTTGGCCCAGCAAAACAAACATCCCTGGCTTAGATGGCTGTACCACTTGAGAGCCCCAAGTGAGAAATAGTTAATATAAAATGACACCATGCTTTTGTTATTGCTACTGATAACTGTGACTTCTAAGGGTTAAATGATCAGGCTAATTTACACAACACAACTGCTCATTCAGTTTTAATTTGCCTCACATTTGTATGTTATTGCTTTGTTAAATGTGTATTTGTCCAATTTCTATTTTGTTTGTCTTATATCTGTTTTTTGCGTCTTATGTCTTCAAGTCCAGTCGTCTGCTTCAGTGTTTTTGTAGAACACTACCGGGTAGTGTTGGCTACGGTTTTCACTGTGCTTATTTTTCCTGTACTTTTTTTTCTTTCTGTTCTGCATGACGATCGCTCTTCCTGCTGCTGCTGCTGCTGCTGCTTGCCTCGGCCACAGCAAAGCTATGCAGGGGGAGGAGCCTGTCGGGGCAGTGTTGCCAGAGGAGGAGGGAGGGGTGGGGAAAGAAAGTGGGCGGGCTGGAAAAACAGAGAGACGGGCCAGTAGTGTAGATAGAGAGGAGGAGGAGTCTAACGAGGACATGGTCCAGAGGAGGTTCTCAGAGAACGACCTCAGGTAAACTGCCATCGCCATGGCGACCTGCTGTATCTGATACTGTGGCTACAGGCGAGTCCTTAACATGGCTTGTAGCTACATAACTAGGTGTGATGTCGCAACGATTCAATTTAGTGTGATTCTTTAGGAGATTATTCAGTTTGATTCGATAATTTTAGTGCGATTCAGAATTATTTTTAAAAATGCACTGAATAAACAGATGTGAGAGGAGCTATTCACACATTAGTGGAATATAGACGATGAAAACAATGGATTTTTACACCCAACCTGAGAATTTTATTTTGTCCAAAAAAAAGAGCACATACGAGTGTGAGTGATTCTAACTTTCCAAAATCAATGCATTTGATGCAGTCATGAAGCCCTAATGCATTTATACACTCCTATACATTCTTCTAAAAGCCCCTTTTACAGTAATTGAGTATCATGTTTAGGATCAATATGCACTTGAACTATGTATTAGATTCCAGACATTATAGAGGGTTAGTAAAAACTTAGATAACAGGACAAAGGTATATGCTTTATACTCGTAAATAATTGAGGATACTAGGCTTTTAGGCTCCAAACTTTATAAGCTTAGCATCTTAAAGTAATGATCGCAAGGCTACACTGCAAAGACTGATAACTTAGCAACTGAAAAAATCTAAAATCTAGTCAGTATCTCAAATTTCACACTTTAGATTGTTGTGAGATTATTAGACGACTTTTCGGTTTGTTTTTAGATGTTTTTACTTGTTTTATACCTCTAAAAAGGATGGTTCTTCAAGGGTTCTTTAGTAAAATAAATGGCTCTATATAGAACCATGAACACTCAGAGAACCTTTTACCTGATTAAAGGGCTCTTTGCATCATTAAAGTGTTCTTCAGATTGATGGAGAATGTGCTGAAGGTGGTTCTATATAGAATCTTTTTTGAAAGGGTTCTGTGAAGCACCAGAAAGGGTTCTTCTATTGTTACAAGCTTGACATAATAACAATAGCAGAACCCTTTTTTTCGAAAAGGCTCTATATAGAAC